AATTTCCAGCCAATTTAAACTCCGCCGTGATCGGACCTGTCTATGTTTCCGGTGTCGGACGCGCCGCGGTATATCGATTATTCCGACCGGCAAAGTCAAATTATACGGTCTTTCCACCCCCGTCCTCCCCTTTCGATAAACTCGCTCGCCGCGCGCGGTATTAACCCTTTCCTCCCCACCTGTTCTCCCTACGTAGCGACGGCAAAACCGTCGAGCCGGTGCGTTTGCACTTTTAATCATGATTGCGCAATCGTTCTACACGCCGTGACGTGACAGAGTTGATTGGTACGTAACGTCGATCGCGCTGAAGCGAACGCGCCATGATTCGACGAACTTCACTTCGCACGAACGTATCTGATAGCGAATTCGGTTCCTTGCACTAGTACGCACCAAGTGCACACTAAGGCTTGTGTATAGTCAACTCTTGTATTTAACTGTTCGGAATTCTTCAAAGTCACCAGCAATAATTAGCAACGACAGTGTTTTCTTCACCATATACCTGGCATCTTCAATAATACAGAAAATTTATTGCGAAAAATATTACCTCAGCCAGGGTTTGAACCTGGACTTCCCTACGCTCTAGGCGGGCGTCTCACCAATTCGACCACCGACGCATATGACAACGAGACAACATCTTTATACTGTTGCAAATATTATCATATGCCTCGATGGTCGAATTGGTGAGACGCCCGCCTAGAGTGTAGGGAGGTCCAGGTTCAAACCCTGACTAAGGTAATATTTTTGCATTAAATTTTCTGTATTATTAAACATGCCAGGTATGGTCAAGAAAATACTGGCGTTCTTATATTTAACTTCGTCTTAAATACACCTTGAAAAAGTATTTAGCAAAAAAAAAACAATTATCCGTACGGATGCTGTACAGATCATTTTACTGGATAAGAAATATTTCGAGAGATATTCGAGTCCTCAAGAGGATCCCCTCAGCCATCTATTTTACTGATACAGTCAAATATAGTTTTGCGCCTGTGATTCTTTTTACTGGCGCTTTTAGGCACGAAATAATATGAGGATAAGTTGCGTACCGCACAGCAAAACATTTTCATACTTACAACACTCAGTTCAGAAGTCTAATAAAAAAGAAATTGGTGTTTGAAATTTTCGATTCGTAGTTTGTGCTAAATTAAAAATTGGCTTTATAAAAAAAACGCTTTATAAAAAGCCTGCAGCTATTTCTACACGCCATACTGCTTTTTTTCTTCTTCTTCCAGACTTGGATTTCCAAACTTGCGTTTATTACAAGCAATCTTTTTTCCAGGCTATTAATCTCAGTTCTAATTGCACGATATTGTTTTTATATGTTGTCCCTAGAGTACGTTGATCTCATTTTGTATATATTTATCGTAGAATTCTTGTATCAAGTAAATATTATTGTCAAGTGTACCAAAAATTAGTAAAATTTTTAATTTTTTTTTCGTTTTTGATATAAAGTTGACCGGCGTAGTCTAGATTTTGCTGCGTGCTTTAATTCCGTAAAAAAGTTTTGCATTTCTATAAAGCCAATTAAAAGAATGAAAACTTCTAACAAAGAATGTCGATAAAACGGACGGCTTTAGGGTGTCCCCTTAAATATAAGAATTGATTGTAAACACAAGCCTTAGCGTGCACTCAGTGCGCACTAGTGCAAGCAACCGAATTCGCTATAAGAGAACCGTCGAAGCATTAAAACAGAAATGATGTGAAATTGTTCGGGGTTCTTTCATTTCCTCCGTTCTTCGAAAGAGAAAGAGTTGTTTATTCGACTTTGGAGCGCGAGGAAAGGCAATTCCGAGTGGCCTTGCGTGCGCATGTGTACCGCTCGTGCCGGCGATTACAAAAATACGAGCGCGCGATAAGCAAGAGGTATTCACGCTTCATCGAAGCGCGAATTTTCTGCGAGGCGACGAACAATTTCCAGCGTTCCTCTAGATTTGGCGTTCGCCCGGCGTTCACGGGCCACTCTACGTTTCGCACCGAAAATTAAGATGGATATTCCCGGTATGGACATCGGCGTATTTCGCCCGCTAATTAGCCCGTTATCCGCTCGACCGATCCGCGCCGCTCGTCACGTCGGGGAGCGTCCTAATTACCGGGCAAAAAGTGACGTAATTTGATATAATTATCGAAACCCTCGTGCTCGCACGACACCTCCGCGCGTTCGCTGGCTCATCGCGGGTCGACGCGATGGCGACCGGTCGCCCGATCGATCGATAGACAAATGCAATCGACAAAAGCCCGCCTCGGGACTCCGTCATTACGACCACGAGCTCGTGTAATCTAGTGCGCGCACGGACGCCGTGTAATTTTCGCCCTCTCCGCCTAACCCGGGACTCCTATGGCACGTCGTATTATTACGTCTCGTAATGACGACGTAGAACCAGCCGCGGAGCCTGTAATGTAACCCCGTATATGTATCGCGAAGGCGGCGCGCACCCTTCGCGTTTTTTGTTCGTCACGGCTCGATCGATCATGCAAGAAGTGAAGCTTCCCATGGTCGCTCGCCTCAGGACGAAGCCGGAACGCTTCCTCTGCTAGCGTCTATGTAAAAGATAGACCTTGTGTTGCAAATCTTATTTTTAACACGTATTATACTTTCATAAATACATTTTGTACTTTGAATAATGAAGAATTCTTCCCACAAGGACAATTGACAGGTCGTTTCAATAGTAATGTATTAAGCAGTGACTTTCGGTGACTGAACGAGACAAACTAGCGTATCTAGTACAATTACATACATAGGCATAGTAATACTAGACCGTGTATGAGACGCCAGACTTTGAAGCTCAGGTAGAAAAGAATAGAAAGTAGGTGCCGTCCACCTTTTTCTCTCTAACGAGAAGAGAGAAAGGTTGACACGGCATCTACTTTCTATCCTTTTCTACCTACCCATTATTGCTTAAAAGAGAACATGCTCGGTCTAGTATTTCTATGTCTGTAATGGTTATGTACGTCTGAGTAAGTGCCGCTTGATGAATCGGTAAAGCAAACCGAAATAAATGGAAAGGAATCAGTATTTAATTTAAAAACGTGTACCTGATTCGAAGCGAGAGTGTCGGTGCCGGGTCGTAGAGGATGCGAGACAATTTACGAGTCTGTAGGATTGCGTGGTCAAAGATCGCAGGCAATCGTATTGATTGGCGAAAGCTTCTTCTTCGTCTTCTTCTTCTTCTTCGGTGGCGTCGGTGCTTAATTTGTGAGACTTCTCGTTCGAGCGGCGTTCTCATAAGGATGCTGTCTCTTCTGTCCCTGTACTACCTCTGCCCTTCGAGATCGATTCCTTTTTTCGCTGTTCTTCGCCCACCGCGCCCGTTTCGAGATATATGAACGAGGGTGGTCTTAAGCGCGAGGCATCCCTCGGCACAAAGACGAAATTACGTCGGCCCTCGAGACGCCCTCGGGCCGAGATTGAAAAAAATAGAAATTACACCCGTCGCGAACGGAAGCCCGCTCGATCTCGCCGCGTCCCCCATGAGATTTAACCCCCTCCGACGACTACGATCCCCGATCTTCTTCCATCCTTTTGCGGCCATCCACGGACGTGATAGGAGCCACTAAGGAGATCCTGAGAGCGCGGATAGGCGGATCTTAGGCAATCGCGAAACTTGAGGTTGACCCCCGGTCAATGTAAAACATTCCTGCATACTTGTCTTTCACGCTGGATATTATCTCTTATTGTAACTGAGCAGTTTGATATAAAAAAAAATTAAACCAGATCTCTCAAAGTACGAATATAATATATTTTAATATTTATTTGATTATTATTATATTTATCGTATGAAGATTTCGGTGCAAGATGTTTATAATAGCGGCTGCAAATAAAACAATGTAAGTGTAACTCATCGTCGATGTTTAAAGATATTTGATTGCTCGGTTGATGATTTTGGCTTGCACATACGCGCAACGTATAATTATTACTGTGCATTATGCATCGTTGTTAACTATGGCACTCTAATATATAAAGCCTTATGATGCAGCTGAGTCACCTCTCAGCCATATTGTGAGATAAGGAACGTCATGCTCCGTCAAGAATGTGTCAACGAACGTCGAGACAAAGTCTGCCGCGCCATAAACAAAGGAGCACTTCCCCAGGCCTGGAATATCCTGTCGGCTGTTTCGTTAACATAATTACTGAACCAAATGAATCAGGTGACGCTAAGAATGAGCAAACTCGATTATGCCTTACTCTGAAAATGCGGCTCTAACGTAAACTGGGATTTAATTGACTTAACGCTTAATTAAACGTAAAAATGCTCTAAGTGGCGTAATCTCTTGTTTATCGAAAATAATACAATTTTTCACGAAGTAATTAATAAAAACGGCGCAATTAGAAACCGAGCAATATTAACCAGTTACAATTCGTAATTTCGTATGTAAATGAAAATTGGTAAAAGATTGGAGCATCTGTATAATCAACTGGAAATGCTCCGAATAAATACAAGCAGCTCGTGCAAATCGAACTGCAGGGAATGCTTTTTAATTAATAATCCGCCGGCGGAGGGTTTACTGGCCAAAGATCACAGGCTTGATCAAACGAATTTACATGGAATATTAACGAATCATTAAACCGTTTTCGAGTGCTTCTGCGTGATCGTGCACTCGTTAATTTCATGTGTTTGACCGTTCGGCGAAATCACGCCGCAAATTCGTTATTTCCACCGGCAAACGTACGTGAGTCGCGATGTACCTCGCTCAAGATCTTTCCCTCTCCGCTCGTAATTATGTTTTTTTTTTTGCACAGAAATGTAAATATGAAATATGAAGTGTGCATAGATATAAAAATGTATCGCTAATTATTAGTAATTCTTCTCTTCGTCTTGGACCTTTGAAATCGTCCGGAGAATTTACGGTTTTCTATAAACAGTTTCGCGGACGACTGACGTGCGTCAGGACGATTTTGCCGTAATAGAAGCTTCGTCTTTCAGCGCGACGACAGTTCGCGAACGGGAGAGGAAACGAGAGGAACGGGCTACGTTTATTTCGCGATTTGAAGCGAGAGGGAAGGCCGGGGACGCGACAAAGTAAAAAGGAGCGCGAGGAATTTAATTTGGTCGAATTCTTTTACATTTATTACGGGGGTCGCAGAACGACGCCTGGAGTCGTTCGTCGACGTGGACGTCGATCGGCGTCGCGAGAGCGTGCCGCGACTAGCACGACTCCGGGTGTCGCGACGCCCGTCCGGGACGATCTGTCGAGTTCGAGCGGCGGTGTAGCGCGGCACCCGGCGCAACCCGGGCTTATTTGAATTCCAGATTGGATTATTCATCGGATTTGGATAATTGAGGGGATTCTATCAGTTACTGGTTCGGGGCCGGGGTGGGATTAGACGCGCAGATGGGAATCCGCGCGCCTAGCGCAACGCTCGAGAAATTCCGAGGTTTCCGGCCGAACGGATCGCGCGAGCGAATCAGTTTCGTTGCTTAAGGAGAGGGCTTGAGAGAAGCGATTGTACAAAGGGAGATACAATGGCTAAAACTCCTAGAAATTCTCTAGAAACTTACACTTTAATCTTGCCGATTGCAATCGTGCCCCGGCATCTATGGCATTGATATTACGAACATTCATTTTTGTGAGAGACGTGTATACTTTCTTTAGTATTTTCCACGATTTTTATCCTTCGACATTTCCTTTGGAAGCAGAAACATCCTCTCTGAACAAATTTTCATGTGGTCTGTTTGCTGGGTCTTGTGTCTTTCTATATCATTTTGCCGAGTGCGCTGCGTGTCTGGGAAAGATGATTCTTTAGGAAAGACAATCTTCTAGTTAACGAAACCAAAAAGAATTGAAAGATACTTTTCTTTCACAATATCACGATTCATTTAATACATTTTTACTAATGCTACCGTAATAAACAATTAATGCGACTATAATGGCAGTCAAAACGCGGGCTAATAAAAAATACGATCTTTCTGTTGCAGCTTCCGGCATTCAACAGAGTCCAGCTGATGTCACCGACTTTGAGCACGAGATGAACGACTGCGAGAACGCGTTGGTCCAATATCCTGACAATCTAAACTTCGGCGATCTTTATTACTATATATTGGCGCCTACTTTGTGCTACGAACTGAATTTTCCCAGAACACAGCGGATCCGAAAAAGGTGAGTGAATTGGAGTTGCAATCTTTATATTTCAGCACGAAGCTAGATTTGCGATTTCCATCGAAACAGAAGTTTTCAAGTGACGTCTTTTCCACGAGATTGTACAGGTCTTTGTCAATCGCGGGTCTGTTTTCAGACGGCACAGAAATATCTTCTCTAATCGTTACATGAGATTCCATTTTGGTGCCGCGGATGAAATTAACCACGTCAAAACTGATAGGTTGAGAAAACCGAGAGCGTCTAAACGAGCAACTTTTGAAACAATTATGCAATGAACTTCCCAGTGTTCTCGAGCTTTTTTCCATTTGATTTCTTTGAAGCGACATATCCTTGTTTCGGTTTACATATGTTTCGAGAATACTACCAAGTTCACTCCGATCGGAAAACGAGTCAAGTGGAAACTTGATATTGTCTGAGTTCGGTCGCGCGAGCGCATACATTGCGTGAGGTGTATAAATCCGTGTTTGCTCTCAGATTTCTCGTATAGATTTCGCCATGGCATATCCCCCGCGTGTCTCTCTCTCACGTTTTATTTTCTTTTCGTAAAGAATGTCAACAAATGTCGAAAAGTCGCCAGTCTACGAAACTCAGATTCCAGCGAATGAATTCTGTACCGAGAAGAAAATTTTGAGGAGGGACAGAATTCTTACTTTGCCCGATTTTATCGAGAACATGAATTATTCGCGCGAGTCGAAATTGGCCGTAGCTTCTGTGAGATTTTATTTTAGAACTCCCGTTTGAGAAGTTCGATTTGAGTTTATTTTTGATACGCCATATGCGAATAATAATTTAATTGCGCGAATATTCGCAAGGAATTTTCATGAATCAGTGAAGGGATTCTTTGTTAATTCCTAACTTCAATTCACATAATATGTTTAATAATAATGGCATAATGTCAAAAGTAATGTGCACGTAAATTATTAATAAAACGTGAATTATTATAGAATATTTTAATAAGGAATTTAACATTAAATATCTTCATAAATAACTCATTTAATGTATGCACATTAAATTTAACCATTTGATATTAATTACAATGTCCTGAATGCTGTATCTTGAAAGATTATATGTGATATTTGAATCCGACTTATTGTTAATCATTTTAATCGTCTCGTACGCTTAGTACATCTTATTCTAAGTTCGTTGTCTAGCCGTGTCTAGCTATATCTCTAGCTTTCTCCTTCCGTGCAGCGACGTTCGTCGAAGAACGCGCCCAGATCTTACTTGTCGCCGGCAGTTTGCCGAAAACGAAACTCGCGCGGACGACGTACCGCCGAATAGGAACGTCGTTTCACGCGATAGCACTCAAAAGTCATTTTCGATTTTTCGAGAAGCAGTTTATGGTCGAGAGAGCGGCCGGGAGGGTAACGAGAACGGGAATAGAAATTTATGGAGCTGGTCGGAAAGCGGTTTGCGCCATCGATAAAATCTAAGAGCAAAGATGTGTGTAATGATCAATGTAATAGAATTACATGGAAGCGAATTAATTCGGACGGTCGTAAATCCAATAAAATATCTTCCCGTTCATTGTAATATACGTTGCACAGATATATCCAAATGTCAAAAGCAAAGTGTCGCTTTTCCCAATCAGAATTGTTTATGCTGTTTTGTTAAAATAGAGAACAACTTCAAACAATTGTGCACACATCTGCATATACGCATATATGATTTTTAAGTTTAAACTTTAAACGCCGTTAAATTCAATGAGATTATTATCAGTTTTATTCGGCACAATTACATTAATTTTAAAATCGTATCATTCAATATTAAGATAAAATCTTTCATAATTATGTATCTTTATTATAGCTCATATTATAATTCAATATATAACTTGCAGGTTTCTTATTAAACGGATAGTGGAAGTCCTCGTAGGATGTCAAGTGGTGATGTCGCTCTTCCAACAATGGATGATACCTTCCGTAAAGAATTCATTAATCCCCTTTAGCGTGAGTACTTTATGTATTGCATTATTATGACATCGCCGAACAAAACTTTGCCCCGACTTTTAAGTTTCAAATACTAAACCGGTTGGATCCGCGAGGAAAACACCGTTTAGAAATCCGTTCCGGTAAATAAATTTTGTCCAAAGCGCAACACATTGTTCGCCTTATTACCGGCCTTTATTCTCCAACAATGTGAATAATGCTCTATTGATGTTTCGGACGGTATCTCCTGCTTTATTATGAAAGCTAATTATTTATCGCGCCGGTCGTAAATAAATCGGTCTAACCGCGAGAGCGAAACAGCTGGTAAGATAGGGGCCGAGAGACGAGCAGAAGTGTAATTTGGTTTCGCCAAATAGGTACGATCAATCTTTCGAGTAATACTCCCGCCCGGAAATTCGATACACACAAATATACGGCAAATTCTGCACCACCCCGGACAAACAGGCATCCCCGCGCTACCGAATTCCCTCGCGATAAAATACGCAGGAAAAAGGGAGCTGTCGCGCACTGTGTGCCACAGTTGCAGTAATATTGTTGCAAGTTACACCTGTAGGCAATATATCCGTCTGTGACATAACGTTGCATAATATCGCGAGCACGATGTAAATTGTATTTCTTAAAATGCTAAACAGATGCGAAAGGAAGGAAACTAAGGGTTTCAGCGACACGTACAAAGTATATTTTTTATCGCTTATATTTCGCCCGGGGTTGTCGCGGACATATTTTAGATGTTAATAACTTGGTCGCGCGACAACTCGCGGTGTCTCCGTCCGAGTCGCGACAACGCGACATTTTTTGCAACAAAAAAACCAGCCAATTTATTTTCGTGACGGTACCTTTTCGTGGCGGTCTCGATAAAAATAAGCGAAAGTGAGAAGAAACAAAGAACGCGTCAGCGGCCGTGTCGTTTTATCCGTTTACGTCGCAATAATGCTCGAGGCACGCCATCAGTTTTTCCCTAACACGGAGTTAAATCCTTCGCCCTGATTTGGCAGTTATATTAATGCCCCGGGAGGATGACGCGAACGATATTTTCGTTGCAAATATCCCACGCTTCCACTTGCACTCGGGCAACGTTCCGTCGGTGTCATAAAGGTTAAATATACGCGGGATCTACAATTATCGCCGGTTATTTATTGCGAGTTTTATCGCTTTTCAACGACGTCCTAATTTCGCTCGAGTATCTCGGATTAAATCTTCAACTCTCCAATATCTGTGATCTGTGAAATCGACTGCGCGAGCTTACCCGTCATAATTATTTTCTTTCCGATAAACCACAAATAAATATTTTTTCCATTATTTCAAGCAACAAATTAGATAAATTATGTAAGATTTATTCGTATTGTATTGATTTCTCTCGTTCTCTCTCTTGCCCGTTCGCTCGCTGTCTACCTGACATAATTTTTATTAAATTTTTTTTTTACAAAGACAGAGCTAATGAAATTGTGGCTTGCATCAAATTAATTTAAAAAAATTCACGTTCGCGAAGAGGCAGCTAATTAACCAATCGTCAGTCACTGAGGTGTAATAAACGAACCGCTTAATTAAATAAGCTGTGCCGATAATGGGATAGAAATCATGGGAAGGCGGCAATTTAAAGCGCTAATTAGGGGAGCACGAACAGCGCGTAATATTGATATTTATATATATGTACACATACCTTTAATCTCGTTCGGATAGCTTTGATCTCACGGTAACGAGGGTCGCGCGAACGTGTGTCGCAACGACGGGAATTCCGTATTGTGTGCTCGTGAGAGGCCCGTGGATTTAAATGGGACCTTTTACGTGGCTGGGCTTAACCGCAACTGATCCGTGGCGGGCGTCCGCGGTTTACCAGCTACGCCCATATTTCGTACATAATGCTATCGAAAATCCGGATCTTGCCATCGATCCTCTGGGACTGCTAATTCAGCCATTCATCCTAATGCCGAGTGCGGGCGTGTTACAAAATTGCGGGGGAAAAAATTCCTGCGCGCACAAACGCGATCCCGTCCGGTGAAACGGAGCCGGTGACGCGTTGCCGTGTATTTGCCGCATTTCTTTTATCGGGAGCCGGGGTTCACTTGCAGCAGAAGCTGGGCGCGTAAATGGAGAGACAATTAATTTTTGATGAAATTTAATCAATCCGTGGCGCTCTCTGATTTGCAATCATTTGTGCAAATACAACAGAACAAGTTAACAAAACGCGAATCGCAAACAAATGTAACGCTTAAAGCATATTCATACCGGGAATTCCAATTTTAGCTTTCAGCATGATTAAAAATTAATTAAGGTATTTCACGTGCGTTCTGTATAATTAAAATAGCTATAACAAAACAAATATACCCCAATACGACGTGTCAACGATGTTTCCACCCGCTAGTTTGCACAAACATAATTAGTAAACAGCATCATGTATCTTTTAAGTGAAACACGCTCTCGTATCATTATCGGAGGGTAATCTCTTTGATGCGTCTACCCCGTCGATCAGGGTGCGCTTCATACGTTATTTACAGTCAGCTGTATTGTCGCCAAGAGTGATAATTGAGTGGTAATCCCCTTCATAACGGCGCTAATCGGGATTTCCGCGTTCGCGACGATTCAACGGCACGTTTGCCCCTCGGTGTCTCGTCGCCGGGACTGTCGGAGCAGTCCGGGCTATCTCGCGCGGTATCATCAAGCGTCTCCACCGCCTCGAGAATCAAGATCGACGCGAGCCATTCGGCGGGGCGCCGGGCCCTGGGAATCCGGCCGCGCGATTTCGCGCCACGGACAAATTGCTTCTGCAAATCGTTCGACGCAACCCCCCTCCGCTATATCCCTTTTTCCCCCCGTTCTCCTTCCATTTCCCAAAGAGACTCGAAGAAAGCGCGCTTCGCCCAGACGCACGCTGGGAAATACCGAGACGACGGCGACGTTCCTCCTCCTCTCCCCTTCGCTCCTCCCGCGACGGCGGTATTCGAGATCGCGGTATCGATTGAACGCAAAGTAATTGCCACTGCTGCTGGTTGCAGGCAAGTTAATGCCGCGGGGACAGGGAGGGAAAGGGCCGGACGACAAACTATCCATTCGATACTTTCCCCGCTTCGATCGCTTCCGCGTTCGCTCCATTCTTTCTTCGCTCGGCGACAAATTGGATCTGATAATTGCGAGTCGCGATTACGACAGTCACGTCGTCGATCGGGCGTCCAGCTGGCGCTGAGAAACGGCGCTCGCTTCCTCCGATTTTCCTCGGCGTGGTCTATCACTGTCGCTCGATAGGGACGAGGGGGGGGGGGGCGAGGGAGGAGACCGAGAGCGCGGATCGTGAGATTAAGAAATCTACGTGGATATTGCTTCCGCCGGGATCGCGAGTCGCGAAGGGAGAAAATTGATAACTGCGGATGATGCTTGTCGGGGGAGGTAATCACTTTTTACTGGCGTGCTCCAGGCTGAGCCTCGTTATTCTTACAGGGCGGAATGAATGGATAAGAAGGTCGGCACGGACCGCGCGCGACCGGAAATCCTCGCGATTTCCTCTGGCAAGTGGGCGATTAACCCCTCCAGGGCTGAGAAATCCATCGTGCTGCGTTTGCTTAGTGACAGTCGCTGCCTCTGCACGAACAATTCTTTGCAAATAATATCGCTCGCTTCAATTACCCCGAAAATGTAACTGTCCGTCTCTTACCTGGTTTCGCTTCTTACATCGTTTCCTACCTTCGCTCGATCCTTTCGTTTTGCACTGGCGTCTTATAGATTTGTTTAGTACCGTGAATGCGATCTGTCATGCAATTTCAACGACGTTAAGTATCACGAATAATTTGTTACGTCGCGGAAATACAGAGGAGCCGTGTTTCTTTATAGCTCTTGGCCTTGTAGAATTGCGCGGCATTTTGCTTTGCCGATCGATTGAATGATCGAGAAGAGGGTGCATCGTGCTTTGGCTTATCGGCTCACGGCATACTGCAGCTTAAAGGGATGAGCGTTTAAAGGATTTTCGGGAGTGCGTCGCAAATGGTTACTGCTTCGAGAAGCATGCGGCTTTGTAGTGGTTACGACGGAACATATGGAACGTATGAGATGTATTGATTTTCTAATCGCATAATGCGGCACTGTGTTCTCGCGACTACATATGTAATTTTCATTGTGTGCAACGTACAACGTGTTATATTCCATAAGAATATCTGATCTAATCGAAAAAGTATCTTACTAACGCAGGCACTCTCTAAAAGTCAATCAGTGGATTGTCACTGAAAACAGTGAATAGTCACCAATTTCCAGGAGGTACCTAACATCGCCTACCAAAATTCAAATCGTTCTCACTTAAGGGAATCCTAAAGCTGCCTGTTTTATCGACATTCTTTGATGGAAGTAATCTTTTAATTGGCTTTATAGAAATGCGAAACTCTTTTACGGAATTAAAGTACGCAGCAAAATCTAGACTATGCTGGTCGACTTTATATCAAAAACGAAAAAAAATTAAAAATTTTACTAATTTTTGGTACACTTGACAATAATATTTGCTTGATACAAGAATTCTACAATAAATATATACAAAATGAAACCAACGTACTCTAGGGACAACATATAAGAACAATATCGTGCAATTAGAACTAAGATTAATAGCCTAGAAAAAAAGATTACTTGTAATAAACACAAGTCTAGAAATCCAAGTCTAGATGAAGAGGAAAGGAGCAGTATGGCGTGTAGAAATAGTTGCAGGCTTTTTCGAGAGAGGTCGCTGGCGAACATCTGTCAGATTATCAGCAAAGCCATGGTGTTGACGATGCTAGAATTCGAGCCAAAATCTCGGTCTCAGCAATGTGTAGCTAATAAAATTGCTGTTTTTTTTTCGTAGAAGTTGCAAAAATTGATTGGCTATCGATTTCTCGGACCGAGTACAACTTGGAAATTAAAAATGTCGATAATCAACGTTTAAAATTCCCATCTTATCGACACTGATCGAGGTTGCCAGCGGCTTTAGGATTCCCTTAAAGAGTAATTGACTTATTGTTTTTATTCGACACAGGCCGTTTAAACGG